GCGTAGTTCTGGTCTCTGTAAGCAGTGGAGGGGCACCCAGGGCCCCTTCCCAGCCTCTGAGGGTTGGGAACTGTCCTTCGCCCCACTAGGCCCTGATTTGTGCTCCACAGCAAAGGCCCTGAAAACAGGAAACCGGAAAAACTTTCTGGGCGTTTTCCTCCCCAGAATCGCAAAATCAACTTCGCGCGGGAGAAGGGCCTGGTGGAAGTGATCCTTGAGAACTTGTCTGAGGAAGACAAGGGGTCCTACACGGCTCAGCTCCAGGACGGAAAAGCCAAAAACCAGATCACCCTGGCGCTGGTGGATGACGGTCAGCCCTGCACCCCGCCTCCCTGAGGGCTCCCTGCCTCCGGCTCTGGGGGCGCTGCTGAGCGTGCCTGGGGGCTTCCACCCGCCCTGACGCCCCTTCCCTGGGCCTGTGCTCCTCCTCCGGACTCATGCCAGCCCCTCCTTGTGTCCACAGAGTTTGACAAACTTCTGCGGAAGGCAGATGCTAAGAGAAGAGACTGGAGGAGAAAGCAAGGTCAGAGTTGTGGGGGGAGGTCCCGAGCAGGGGTGCCCTGGGTGGTCAGTGGAGGGAAACTGGTTAGCAGTGCCTGCGCTCAGCTGGGGGTGCGGGGGCCCCTGTAATTCACCCAGCCTTACCTGGCACAGAGAGTGAGTGCCTCCTTAAATCGTGTGCCCAAGGTACCTCCCTTGCCTTGCCTCACCCTAGCCCCTGCCCTCCCTCTGTGGGCAGTAGATGGGAACCAGTAGGCATTTGTCCCTCTGCCTCTTCTCACAAGCTGCCCCCGTGGTGTCGTGTAGTGGGTTACACGTGTCGCAGCGAGTCACAGGGTCGGCAGTTTGAAACCACCAGCTGCCCCTCGGGAGAGAGATGAGGCTTTCTGCCCCCATAAAGATTGAGTCTCGGAAACCCACAGGGGCAGCTCTGCCCTGCTCCATTGGGGCCCTAGGATTGGGGGTGGGCCCCTGCCCCTCCCCGCTGGCTTCTCCTCTCCCACCACCAGGTGGCCCCCTGCCCCAGCTGGGCGCTCTAAGCAGGTGGGTGCATCTGCGTTTGCCTCCACAGGTCCCTATTTCGAGGAGTTCCTGCAGTGGAAGGTCACGGAGGACTGTCGAGTGCTGCTGACCTGCAAGGCAAATCCCAGCCCCTGCCTCGGCTCCCACTCCTGCTCCCCAAGCCCTGTGCCCATCCCTGCCCAACCCCAAATTCTGTACTCATTTTTTGGCTAAGCCCACAGCTGCAAAGTAGCCCTGCATTAGAAACCCCCCTCCCCCCAAAGGAAGCTCCTCCTGGCGGGCCCCAGAACCTGTGTTAAGTTAGGTCATCTTTACACAGGGCTTCTGTGGGGTGGGAAGTAGGGGCTGTGAGTGAGGGCATTACCAGTCCTACCAAACCAACTCCTGCCACCGCGAGTCAGAGCAGCCTTATGGGACCCTGTAGGTGAAGAGCTGACCCTGCAGTCCGTAGCCATGCCACGAAGCCTGAAGGGCAGATGGGGAGAAGCAGTCACCCACAATCAACCAGCAGACTCAGAGCACCCCCTGGGCACCCACGCTGCCAGGCCCCAGGCACTCGGGGATGGGCAGGTGTCTCTTTAGACCCTTGGGAGCCCACATTCCAGGGCAGGCTCTTTGGGGAGCCAGAACCAGCACCCTCATGCTGTGACAGAAACATGTGCAGGGACTTCATCCAGCTACAAAGAGGCACTCAGAGGGTACCCTG